CAAATTCCGGCATCAGGTAGTCGTCACTATGAATTTCTGCTGATCTTAGGTTTACTGTGCAGTGGCTCAGTTTTCGAATTTGGAACATTGTACCTCAGTTTACTTAAACACACACCATTCTTGGTAATACGAATTTTGCCTTGGAAACGTCCGCAACTCAAAACCATACAACAGGCAAAAACTACTGTTTACAGGAATGTGGTTTTTTCTCACAAATTCGTTCGTTTGCCCGTAAGAGGATTAGCATCGGGTTAAATCTGAGCATTTGTTTTCCATACATGTGGTTGAAATCTGTTGCGTGCGGAATGATTAACATCTGGTCGCCCGGCCGTATTAAAGTTCTCAGAGGTCGTGACCAAATAATAATGTGTCAAAGCCAAGGTACCAATCACGTCACTTGTTCATCGTCACACAGAGTCAGCTAGGTACTAGTGTGGGTAACTAACTGGGGTAACCAGTCTCCTCTCGGTCATATCAGCTGAACCTGTGGTTATGAGAGGCCCAAAGCAAGCTTAGACGAATTCTCCGTCATCAGAACTGCCGTTTAATGGCGTTGAAAAGTGGAAATCTCCTTTCGGGTTTCGGTAGGTACCACAGAACCAACGGAAGTTGTGTAAACACGTAAACGTATTCATTATTGTGTCTTGAAGTATCTGCCCTGCGTCTAGATTACGACACGAAATCCCGACTGCGGTTACAGATTGCTTTCAAACAAACCTATGCCATTTCGACAGCTGGGACCATCCGAATTGCAGCTCCAGAGCTGCTCTCTCTCGACACTCCATTCCACGACCGGTTTCGTCCTGTGTTGAACTCGTCAGGTAGTGATAGCTTGAACTGAGAGTGGAGCCGAACACATTATTTGACGGCTTTCGTCCTGGTCACTAGGCCAGAGCTCCACAACAGCGCTTGACACAGCAGTTAGAAGTTCCTGACGAGTCCAAATAAAGACGAAAACGGTCGGTCGGGGAGTGCAGCGTTGGAAGAAAGCAGCTCCGAATCTCTTCACTTCAGATACTTGAAAGCAATCTGCGGCCGCAATCGAGACTGCGTGTCGCAATCCAAACACACAGCGGGTAATCCAGTACCTAATAATAAACTTCTAACCGCTATGTCAAGCGCCGTTGTGGAGCTCTGACCCAGCGACCACGTCAAAAGTCGTCAGCCATTCTGTTGGACTCTTCTCACAGCTTAAGTTATCTCCACCTGACGAGTCCAAATAAAGAAGAAAACGGTCGGTCGTGGAGTTAGTGACAGGATAGACCAGCTCCGAAAGTGTCTCCTTCATGGGCATGCTGCACCCAGACCATTCGTTCAAGAAGTAAACAGACACTGCATAATTTAGTACAGGTGGAAGTACGTTTGTCAAAGATAGTCAGTTTGCTCCGTCCACCTACAACTCATAGTGGTAAACGTCGGAGGCTTTGATAATGGATCCATTTTGCATTTTAGTAAGTCACTGGTACGAATGGCTCTGACGCATGAAGTCTATTTTTTGGTGTTCGAATTCATGCATTTACTGCAATTGACTAAATCGTACTTTTTGATAATGACGGTTAACATGCCTAGATTATTCACTATCTGCTTGACCTCACATTTATATCAGCTGTGGTAGTTTTGTGTATTATTTTGGTTAAGATACATATAATGCGTGTGGCTCACAAGCAATCTAGTCAAACATCATCGACTGACTCAGTTTCGTAGATCATAGCAACGTTGCTCATGGATGATGATCTGAGTGCTAATCGGAGTTCTCTCTGTACATGGCACACTGTCGAGATTAGTATTTTAGTTATGCGTCCGTGCTACACCGTGGGCAAGTTTCAAAGTGAAAGAACAGTGCTAATGAAATCTAACTCTTTCTAGTACTTCCTAATAATAACCTGCTCAACAGGAATGTGTTAAATGTGCAAGTGGGTTTCTTAAATCATCATGATTATCACAAAATCGAGCACTACCCCAGTCCGGTTTAGCGTTTTTGAACCAGGTACAGATTGGACGTTCGTGTGTTCACTACTTATACTAAACACAGGTACTAGCCGTTTTGGCAAGGTAATACCCGGAGCTTGCAACCCTCCTGCCATTTTAATTTCATAATGATTAGAGAAAAGTGGGAGTCGATGGCACGTAAACTTAGCGGCTTGATAAGTTCTCAATATAGGCTCCTTAGGGACAAGCAGCCCGATCTGATGACGTGGTCAATCTTTGTTGCAGGGTGTATCAGACAAATTTCCTGAGATATTCAACACAGTCGATTGGAAGGTGAGTTGGAAAACGTCAATACTATATCGCTTCTGAAATATAAACGCTTTTTTAATGAGCTGAGCCAGGGTGCAAGCTATATCAACAGCTCCATCCTTAGTTTTGTACGGTTCCCAGCCGGAAACTAAGTTGGGATTTGTTCATGTTAAGCACTGTTTCTACTCAGTTATTTTCACTTTTCATTGTTTCGAAGACTGACTCCAGGTGCGCACAGTAATCCTCCGCATATTTTAACACTACTTTTTGTTTAAATTTACTTCTGTGAAGATATGCCGATGTAGTTCACTATCGCCCCAATATTTTTCCCTCAGATGGCGTAGTCATGAGTTTCTCTAGAAGTCAAACTCTGGCCACAAATATAATCTGTTCACTATTATTCTTAACTTCATATTGTCCTCAGTAAAGAAAAATCTTTCCTAAGATTAGACGAGAGACGCCAAATGACTTTTTCACTTCAGGCTGCAGAAATCCCGGGTGAGGGGAATTTAATTTTCATGCATGTGTATCAAAAACTGTCTTCTTGGAGTCCTGGGATGTAATGCTTGAACTTTCAAATTCCTTCTTGCTTCAATTACCACTCACGTACGGCTTCGCTTGCTACGACGTGGCACGGAAGTTTGGGACGCTTTACATGCGATATAGGGTTTGAATGTTCAGGCTCAACTGCTTTATCTGCATATGAATCTAACTTAAGCGCTGGCTTGTTAGATAGATCCGCTGTCTCAGGGGTGGCATACTTGCAATCTAGCTCGCATCATGAAATTCGAAAAATGAGGAATTTTGTCATTTCTGAATGAGTAAATCTTTAAAACAGATTTCTCAAATAAATCTTGAAGCCATCGGATAAGTTAAATTAGTTGCGTGTTTCAGTCTCGTTGCTGATGTTTTGTCAAACATTCCTACACCATGGCCCAAACATAGCATTTGAACAGCGGCAGAGCGCAGACTTTTGCTGCATCAAGAAGACAAGTGTTCAAGCATCCTATCCTTTTGTTTACTAATTTGCACTGAGCAGAAATATTTCGCAGTCTGACCTAAATCGGTGACCGGTCATAAAAGGCTTTTAAAGGGGTCCTTATGAACACGGCCTTTCATTGTCGTTGTGCACATCAGAGATAAACTGAAGTACTTAATAAAGTAGCGGCATTAGTGTGGGAGGCATTCACCTGCAACAAGTTTTTTACTGTTAAATTTTCCATAGTTAGGTTACTAACTTGAAGTGAAACAAGTGAATTATTCGTGCCCCCTCTAAGACATTTTAAATAGTCGCTTTCTTTTGCTTAGACCGTTTCGAAGCCACAAAGATATAAATTGTGGATGGATCTCTATTGAGAAGGCTACATTTTCCTTAAGGGGCAGTAAGATTTGTGTACGTAATCATCCAATGTGTGCAATTTTAACACTTTTTATCCTATACGAAGTATCATAGTCACTCAAGGCACAGCCAAGTTCGTGATGTCATGCATGGTATGTACGTGCCTAGTGACTTTCGGCAATGAGTACACTTACCAGTCATGCGATTGCTGCTGGGAACTTCATCTCAACGTTTTGCTATGAGTCAGACGCAAGAAATGCAGCTATTATGGTTCGCAGTGTTCACAGTCAAACGACCAGCACCTCCCCGTAAACGTCAAACGGCACCGTAGAGCAGCCTACCTAGTTTAATGGGAAAGTTAAATAGATGGTGGAATGCTGTCAGCATTACACATGATGGAAGAGACACCAAAGGTTGAAGCCAGTTACTTCCTCTATTTCTCTTTTATTCGATAGGTTATGTTTAGCGCCGACAGAATTGATACTAACTAGCTAGCTAAGCGTTTTCTCAACAACCGGTTTTTTCATTTGCAATATGTATCTGACCAAATGAAACCCACATAAACGCTATCACACCTGTGTGGTAATTGTACTCCGCCAAGTATACCAAAGCCTTGCAACAGAATGATAAATCGATGTTTACATAGGCATACCAATTGGCACTTAGACACCTTTATGATTTTCCAGTGGGCAAAACTTGGTGCCAGTTAAGAACACCATTGATCAGCTCATCTGTATAAAATGAGCATTGATTTTATGAATCATGTCGACGACTGGAATCCATAATTTATGATTTCATAAAGCCCTGAAGGTATAGATTACATTAGCGGATGAAGGGGGACGCGAGATTGTTAAGATGCTGACTAATGTTCTATCACAACCCCATAAAAACAAGATCTGTCCTTTGGAGGCAAAATGTGAGAACTTTCGTCAAACTGAGAAAAAAAGTATCCACAAGTAAACAGCGCGTGTATGGATGGGGATATGAGTGGAATTTCGGCCACGCCCAATTTCTTGCCTAGTTGAGCTGAAACCTGAAAAATGTGAAGACAAAGACATTAGCCACCTGTTGCCGCGTCCATGAAATCTGACCCAATTTACCCTGTCATCTAGCCAAGACAAAGAGCTTCCGGCCTAACTACTTCTGAGTGTCCCACGCTGCCACGCTCAGGTAAATGGTACGATTAGGGAATTGTGGACTCCTGAACGTGCGCACCCGGTTTAGATGAAGATGGATCGACTTTGACCAGAAGTGGGTTGTCATAAAGACAACACGGTTATACAAACATTGTAACCTAAAGTAACCATGAGAGATTTTCGTACTGGGTCTTAAGACCATTATACATTCAAAACCCACCCACTGCATTCTACTTTAGCATCCTGTTCAGGCGCCATCTTTTATGTCTGTCCTTTCCAAATTGTAGGTTCGCCTCCGTGTTCACATGTCTAATCCTGAGTGTGTTATCCACTGTGGATGAATATGCACATTCCGCCAGTCGAATTCTATTGTATATGGTAAGTAGCTATTGCAGCACTCATTCATAATCATTACCTGAGTTCCTGTGCATCACATGTATTGTGCCAACAATGGAATCGTCTCATTTTTACCAATCAGCTAAGTGAATTTCTCACTCACCATGTGTAATTACTTCTCCAAATAAGACAAGCGAAAGCCGGAATGCAAACCGTCCCCTAGTAGACAAGCACCTGAATCGATTGAATCAGTGCCAGGGTTCGCATTGTGGTAGAGTTGTGTTTGAACAAGCATACAGAAAAACTCTGTAACACAAATAGCCCTTAACTTTCGATTTCTTTTCTGTCGGTCTCCTCTGAATTAGTAAGGATGGAGTGACTGGCAACATTGCAGTACAGGAGCCCATTATGCTTTCGTGGATATGAATCGATTGTTGACATACTAAAGCGTTAACGAAAGCGGACGTTAGTATTTTGATGTTTTCGGAAAGACTTATCGTTGCCAAACTAGGCCAGACAGTTGTCCTGAACCCATAAAACGCAGAACAACTGTTTCGTCCCGTATGGATTCGTCAACAGGGCACGTCCGCCGAACCTTGGTGGAGTTGAACCCAAAATGTTCTCCCAAATAGTTGGCGAGCTAATTCATGACTGACTACCAGCAGTTAACTGTCTGACCTGCCTTACAATTCCATAAACCAGTTGGCAGCTTATCTGAAAAAGTCAGGACTCTGAGATCCAGTACTGCCTTCTGCAACGCAGTGACGCGCATGGTAGCAGTGGATGAGTCGTGCCATGTTGCAGACGGCAATCAGACATGGCAGTTCGCTTATGTTGATTTAAGCCACTGATTCGTAGAACGTCATGGGCTTGGGTCTAGCAGCATGCGATGGGCACGAGCTACGGGCGCAATGATAGCACCACGAGGCCGTCCAGAGCTATTCCGGAAACGTAGTTGTCGTTAGATCGTGTTTTGCGGAAATAACTTTTATAGCAAATCGATGTGCCGCTTATGGCATTAAAACCTAGGATTTGAATGCGCCAGTTTGTGACCGTGGGGAATCAGTCGATGTGTAAAAAGTGACTGCCTGACAAGTCCCGTAGGATGTCAGGACAAAGGATTATAAGCTAAATTTTAAACTGAAAGGAAAATAAGGGAATTTCGGGTTTGCGCTGACTCGCCGAGTTATCCAAGTGATACCTATACTGCTCTCCTTACCGCTACGTAGCAGAGAGGACCGCTGAGCACACCGTTTGGGTTGAGCTTTGTCGTCACATACTATAAACGGCGTAGGGTAGTCCACTCGTCATGTAAAGGGTTGATGTGGGGCAAAAATAACGCGAAAACGAAGAGTGTTCTAGGTTCTAGATATCCGAAAGAGAAAACGTTTTATCTGCAATCAAGTCGACTGTAATGTGTGGCTACTATTGAGCTGCTGGCCTCCCTGATGGCTACCGTAGATATAATATAAAAGATCGCGACAGGCGTAAACGTGATTTGCCAGTAGTTGGCACCTCGTGACGACGTCTCCTAGCAGGCTCCGATGTTCACTGCCGCACAGGTCTAGGGATTTCACTCGGCGTTGCTACGGGAGGTTAAACAGTCCTCGGATGATTTTTGGCACACTACCTGGTGGTATTTCAAACACAACCACCTGGTGGTTTTTCGGAGTTGTTCTTCCCTACTGCGGCAGGGCAAACCGGTTTTGTCTTTCCGTGGACTCGTCAGACGGTGGTACTGGAGTTGGGTTTGAACTCGTGGCCTAGTAGTTAACAGCTAACGACTTGATCAGTATTCCACTAAGATCCGTGAACAGCGATTAGCTTAACAATAACGAATTCAAAGTTGGATTTGAAGTACCTGTTGTGTGGTTGGATTATGACATGCAATCTCTATTGGGACAACGGTTCTTATTGTTGTAGACCTCGGTCATTCCGATCATACAAACCGTATCCAGCTCTTGTTTGCGCCGACTCCCCCAGGCTTGGATCATATACTTTATGTAGGGTCTCACGCAAGTGTTCAGCATTTGCGGAAAGACAGATGGATCGAACTTTCCGAACTCCCTCCACAAGAAGCTAAGGTGCTAACCAGCTCTTCAAGATTATTTTTCTGCCATTTGCGAGCAACTAAGGTTGTCATGCACGATTACCTTTAGTCGCTTTCTTGCGTAGCATGTTGCGGTTTCTGCTCTCCCAGTCAATATTCATGTATACATGGATATCGTACCCGCAGAACTTTGTGTTTCACCAAGTTAAACTAGACCAGATGTGCAGACGACCATGTATATGGATTGTCGAAACCACTGCCGTGCTGGGTGATCGTCCAACATCTTGACTACATCTGCCTGGTTCCTTGGTGCCCGACTGCTTGTCACTTCCAGTGATAGTGCGGTTTAGCACGGAGAATCACCAAATAATTAAAAACAAAGATCCCGTGTCTGTAGCTTGCAATGGAACACTGTTACAAGGCAGCTAAAAGAAGCCAAGGAATGACACGTCCCGTGGATTGTCTGTGTGAATTACATAATAACCAAAAGTGAAAGTAAAGCGCGCATTTATGGATTCACTATAATATCTAAGTTAACACACAAGTCAATCCACATTTCCGATTTCGTGGGCGTTGAGCAGCAAAATGTTTGTCTGCTTCTTGTTAGTAGTCAACGAACAGAATTCAAGTCAAGTAATGCAGATAATGTGATGCATCGGCAAGTCGCCTCTTTAAAATCGTTAACATGGGAAAAGAAATGAACATAGTCCAAAAACCGTTATACAGCCTACAATTTCGAAAGAAATGACATTTGTGTTGACATTCCAAGCGACTGTGCGCTTTGAACTGTAGTTCCTCTCAGTGTAGACTCATTTACTCTGCATTCCTTGGACGTGCTCAGCTTGATAGTCCAAAGTGTCAGAAATCACCTTACCATCGCCTGTACTCAAGCGTGTCGCAAACTTTCAGATAAACCCTGCGCATTTACTGAGAAAACATTATATCTAATAGGTCGCCTAGGATTACAGGCCTGAAAATCATTGCAATGCTGACCCAGTCTCGAGGATTATTTGTGTTTCCTCTGTCTCGCAAGACGCAAAACTGTTATTTAACTCTGGTGAGTAATGGTATGTATGTTTTGCACTATTTCAACAACCTGCATCAGATAGGGTTTTATTGAGATATAGTGCCACCAATCAAAAGCTTCTTTTTAACGCAAGGTGCTGAAGATATATTCCAACAGATATAAATACCTCATAAGTTAACAATTAAAGGGGCCGAACCAAAGTTTTCGGCATACAGTGGGGTCAACTTACGGAAGTCTGGTTTCATAAGGTTTACATGTTGCACATTTCTCGTAGCTAAATGCGTTTCGGCTACTCGGACTACTCTTAGTGTATCCATCGCCGTGGTGATAAATGCTAATGCACACTATGCGCAAGATCAACGTTCCTGTATTAAGCTTACGATTGTGTGAAGTGTGAACAATTCACTTTGTACTCCAGTCTTGAGAACTACAACAAAGAACTACATACAACTTGTTGTAGATTATGAAGTTCATCTGCTCTGAACAGCGACAGGCACTTCATGTTGGGAACTAATTATGCAGATGTTTCTTGGCATATATATTGAAAAACCTTAAACGCGACACTGGAATTTATTGCAACTTTCCTTGTGTACATTATTAAAAAAGTCAGCAATTTGATTTTCACTTCTCCCGCTAACTAACTTGCTTTTTATCTGGTTCCAGTCCCAACGGAGGCAGCTTCCCTGTTCTATGGAGCTAAACAAATCTCATAGACCTATCCGCAATTCTGTTCCTTGGTGGTACCGCGATCTATCTTGTCCGTCTGATTGACGATTCTTTGTTTGTTTCATTACTTTAGGCGGCGCCAATCCACCAACAATAGATCGCACATTCCACGCGGCATACCACAAACCTCGTGATAATTTACAAAAGGAAAGTGCAGTACAGGCTATCTCACTCAGACAGCTAGGGAACTTGTTTCAATCTTAATGTATTCAGCTGCCATTGTATTCTCCGCAGAGTTGAATCAACAAATGAAATGTACGAAATGCAGATCACAGAAGATGGGGGTAAAAGATAGGAGTTTACCAGGCAAAGTAGTGCAGGTTTTTCCCATATAAGTAGCAATTTAGCTAGATTCACACGGTATGCTAGAATGAAGGCCACAAAATGACTTCTTCTCTGAATTACACTTGGAGAACTTTGTTACTACATCTATAATGAAGAAAAATTATCCGGAGGCTGTAACGAACCTTAGGTTACCGAATCAAGTGATATCTCATGACGAAGGTGCGGCATGAGCTTTAAGTGAAATGATGTAGTTGCTACGTACGTGCAGTGTGATGCATAGTGAGTGTTATGAAATGCTTGCTTAGTTAGCATTCGCATGTTTAAAAATGTGAGATAGTAAAAATCGAGCTATCAAGGTTAATATACCTGGTATCCTGTGATTACTTACGCTCATCTGTATTTTTTGCGATTCTACGCTTTTCATCCTTTTGACCAGGTCACCAATTATTCCTAACAGTGCATGAACTTATCTGTCCTAAGCAATCTTCATTTATTACTGAAAGGAAGGATTGGATCTTTAGCAATATGTTTTACAGACTCCTCATCGACCTACGACTTGTGCGATACCTACCTGGTGCTAAATTATTAGGTACTTTTACATGGTACTTAAAACTACTGGCGTATTGCATCACCTTTGGTTTTAGGCTGACTCTGCACAGTCGAATATTACTGTTGGAGGGTGAGAGAGCAACCGAACGCAATCATTTGAACTGTTTGCCACACCATGGTCTAGTTCTACAGTTAGCGTTTCGCGGGTGTGCATTTAAGCATGACCATGCGTTAGCTACATGATCTGATTAGGAGGCATTTCTTGTTGGATCGATCGTTCTACACATTAATAGCGCTTGTGTTAAGCGGATAGGTTTCTTCGCGTTTCCGCCAGTACTTTGGCTACTTCTGCCGTCACCACTCTCTGCAACCCGATGTTCTCAGTCCGAATCGACTTAAACTTAAACCTGCAAAAGAAAAGTTACAATCTCCCGATGAATTTCGACAAGCAAAATGGCTGTGCACTCCTTTCCGGAAGTGTGATAGCTATCTGTCTAAAGGCAGCTGTGAAAAATCAATTGGAAAATCGACCAATATGCAACATTCACTAGTCAGTTAACAATTTCTAATCAACGTCTAAGTAAACCCATGTTTTCACGGGAAGAAAAATAGAGCTAACAAACGTGCAGCCCAAATCGATCGATGCAAGAGCATTTTTCATACTATATGAATTCCGTCATTAACTCTACTAAGTGGCAGTGGTCCGGTTGGGTCCGAGCCAACCAACGTATTACTTTGGATCGGGTGGTATTTTGGAAGTATTCTGATGCGCCAGGTCGCCAGAACTCTTTAAGAAATGAACCGTAAGTCCAAAATCCATTTTTAATTATGAGCCATGTGTTCTGTAAGTTGCATTCAGGAGCTGACCGTACTCCAGGAAACAATGCAATCCACACTGATAGTGCGGGATCGGAAGTGCTTCAGCAAAATATCCTGATTATTATATACTGACTGCTGGATGAACTCGATATAGTAGTAGCGAGTACATTTGTCATTGCACGTTGTATACCAAAAATGGGTCCCAACCTTAACAAAAATCTCCAATTGGCTGAGAGGGGCAGTGGAAAATTAAACGGAGAAGCGCAAAAAGCCCACGGCCATCAAACAAGCTTGCAGACCCCGAATGGATATCGGTTTACCAGTGATTGCTCCTATCATGAACTGTATCTTGAGTTAAGGATACCAGCTTCACGCTAGTTAGGAATAAGCTGCAAATTTAGAAACACCGCTGGCGATTTATGCTATATTCTGTTATCGTTGTAATGGAAAGCCACTCTAGTAGGTGAAGGAACCTTTGGCAGATTAATGGAGTGTTACGGAAGAGTTTAAAGAAACAGACAAACAACTGCAAAAACTCTGGTGCAGTCCAATGTCTGTAGAAGCCGCACAGTCTGTCTTCTTGTTTCATCACGTTCACTGTTCACTGCTCCTTATATATGCCTACCACAGTTTAACTGGCCATTCCTAATTGCTAGAGAATCTCTAACCCTGTACTACACTAGAGAAGAAATAAAATACCAGTAAAATTTAAGCACTTCTACTCACGACAAAGCGACACCAGTCAAACTACAAGATTTATTGTAGGTTCATACTTGTACAATACATTGCATTTCCCCTACTGGTAAGTAACGTATATCTAACTTTCACTCTACAGGAATTGGCCATTCTATTTTGGTTCTTCGCTGAATATTGTATTCGGTTGTGGAGTGCTGGCTGTCGCTCACGGTATCAAACATGGCAGGGTCGCTTCCATTTTGCAAGACGGCCTTTCTGCATCGTCGGTAAGATATCCAATGTAGAGTACAATGTCTGAGAAATTGAGCCTGTTAACGGTATGGTACTGATGGTTTTCAATGCAGCTGGCCTATTTCTCAAGTAATTGGACCATGGGATTTGATATATGCACGAATATATAAATATATATGCTGGTAATAATAAAATAACTTCTACCCACCTGCGACCAACAATTCCAGGTTAACACCCATACGCTCTTGTGAAAGTGGCGGATCTCGGGCTAAGTGCTGTTGGCCGTACTTATACAAGCCCCACGTACCGATATACCGCAGCACCTGCCGGAGGCCTATGCGCATCAGCCCCGAATAAGTCCAAAGTGCACTTCATTCGACACATAATTCATGGGGCACGCTACAAAAGATGAACAGTGAGTGCGGGATGCACCACGAGTTATCATTAGAAACTGACAAGAATGCAGAATATATTAAGCAATCTAAGCACGTAGTTAGACTTGATGAGAGGATTGGCTAGATTTCTGGATTGGGAACCAGCTTATTTTACAATCACTTTGAGGCATGAGCGTAACACTTCTCTTTTGGTGTGAATACCTAACGTACTTCTGGAAACAAAAATAGTCTGGGACTTTGAAAGTTTTCTTTTAATAATCTGTCACATCAAGATGTTAAGAAACGGGTTTCATTTAAGTTGTCGTTATGTATCCAACTCCTGGTGCAGCTTTAAGGAGAAAGTTTCTCAAATACACAATAACTCCCTATTACCCAATAACGATCATCTAATCATTTCTTGGAGTTTTACCCCGGGTATGCGCCACCTCTCTATCCACTGCATGTGACATGTTATCCTCGTGCGCGACAGTTTGTTTGGAGTCACAAAGATGTTGGACTGAAGGCATTCACAGAATGCGTTGCAACGAACCAAATTATTTGGCCACCGACACTGTGCTATCATATGTGAGTTTGACAGCAGTTATAGATTCATTCACTGGCTCCTCCATCCTTGGTTACTACGAACATTGGCATCCTTGAGTTCATTAAATTTATCTCGGATGGATTCGAGTGTGTTCTATTCCACATTAGTTGGTATTACTTCCACCTGCTCTTAAATGTTATCAACCTTATAATCCCCTGTTCCCGTGTACAAGAAGGCAGTACTGTGCCCATGTGTCGTATTACGCACTGGCACCTTGAGACAAGTCGCTATGAACTACAATACGTTGGGCGTGTCAGCGAACTTTCATTACATTTGAAAACATCATTGACCGGTAGATAATGAACTATCAGCTGTGCCGCCAAATAAAATAATTTGCAGTTACTAGACATTTGAATTGGATTGTGGTCCGTTTTTCGCTTCAGTTCTGAACTAACTCTTTAGAGACAAGTAAGATGTCATAAACATGAAGGAAAAATGGCTCACAGATGTAATGTTCTGGTCGATTAATATTACGGTTTGAAGCGGGGTAACTAGACTTGTTTACCTAAGTCGTCCTTACTTCTAAAACTAGCATCATGAAAATACTGACAATCTTTAACACATCCGTAACGCAGAACGAATTCTAGTTAATAATTTACCTTTGACCTGGTTGTTTCATTGGGGCTACACGAGATAGTCCACTGAAGTTTCTGTGCACCCCGGGTACCTGTTTGCTCCAGTTTAGCTGGAACCAGGCCTGGCATCAAGTTTAATGAACAATGATTGTATACAGGTTAAGAAGCACTACTTTACAAACCCCATTGGGTGGTCTGGTGGGTTATTGAGAACTATTGATGAACATGCGGTTAATAATTCTACTGTCAAAAGAATTAACTTAAGTTATGTAATGTAATAGCTGTGCACTACGAGTGTTTCCATAGCTTCATTAGACGAAACATTAATAATAGTATTTCCCGGCAGTTGACTAGAGATTAGCATCAAGCAACAAAATTTAAGTGACGGAGTGCGTCATCCAACCGAATTTTAACTAAGGCCAACATGGGTGCAGAAACAGCCGATTCGAGGAGAGCGTTCCATGAGTGACACGGCACTCCAGACGCTGTACAGTTCTGTTAATTTTACGGAGTGATCTTTAAGATTGATGTTACTGTTGGATTTCAGTTAAGAGCGGCATAAATGAGCTGGATTGTGTGAAACCAAGTACAACTTTATCAAGTCACATGGTAGTTGGCGACAGCGCCCGCTGAATAATCCCAAATGTTTCAGCCTCTGCTCGTGTGCTAAATGTAACATTCCAATGACGCATTTGGGAACCGGACGTTGAGGTTTGGTTTAGTGCGGTAAGCTCATGCTTTAGCCACAGGTGCAATGCTCATATTGTGTATTCAACATGGGAGCGTAAATACGCATTGAGCATCCGCTGAAGATAGCGATATCTAATTATCCGAACCCCCGTTGCAACACGCCGGCGTGTTGGTTACCAGTTTTCGATGACTTTGCAGATGGCTTGGAACAACCCAAGTTATCCTGAACCAGCACACCCAGGTAGCGTTCCGTGGATGACCGATGCAGTATTTGTGTTCTCAGCCTGTAGTAATAAGCGCACTCTGATGATGTATGGAGAAAACTTTGCATTTACTTACGTTGCACTGTAGCAACTTTTGGGTTGACCACGGATACGTACGTCACACTGAAGTGAATTATGATTGGCATCCGCATGAATCCGGCGCCATATCATGCTATCGTTAGCAAGCAGTAAACAATTTCAAGCGATTGTCCGTGCAAGGTCAATGATGAATGCCAATGCCTTAGGAATGAGTCATGGGGCACACCAGACTCGACGGGTATGGGTTCGTATAGGGAACCCCGGACTATCCCCATTAAGTATGGTTGCAGGAGAAAGTTAGCGCTCCAGCTGAAGAGAGGCTCACCGATCCCGTAATATTGGAGCTTGGAAAGGAGAATACGATGATCTAAGCGATCGAACGCTTCCATAAATCCAAGTAGATCACCACACTGGCCACTTCAGCTTTGGTTGAGTCTGTCCAACACGTCCGTGCTATCATTAAATTTGTGGTGCACGATCGCTGTCGACGAAAACCGTGCTGTTGGGGAGCAATAACGTTATAATTTTCTATATAACACACCAACAACGCAAGAGCAACGATGGATTCCCTGACAATGGACAATATAAGGAGAACAGCTACTTGGCGGTAGTTTGAGTGTTCAATCCTGCTTCCACTTATTTGAATCCTTATTATTCGAAACTTCCACATCATAGGAATCTGGATCTAGTCTGAGCAGCGCTGAAAGAACTGGGCCAAAGGTTTTGCTACTTAGCTTGCTGCTACTCCCAGTACTTTTGTTCGAATGGTATGGAGTCCCGGTGAGCTGTGGTTGCGCAGAGACCTCAGCTTCTGCAGTACAGCTTCAGCAGTAACAGAGATACAAATGAGTCCTTGAGACGGGAAAGCAAAAGATGGGGGATTGCCTGGTGGGGAAAACCCTCCGAAATGTGGGAGCAGGTTGCATCCGCAACGCGTTTGCTGCTTCTGTAGCTGTTCTAATTAGATACTTAGGCGTCCGGAGTAGAGGAATTCCCTGCCGCACTTTACAACGGCCGTTGACATACTCGTACAGCGGTTTGTGGTTAGCGCTGAAAGTTTTCGCCCTATTCTCCTGATATGTGAGCCTGTTACCTCTGAGCAGTTGTGTGCAGTGCTTACAATGGGCTACGTATCTGCCCCAATTATTTGACGTTGTCGATGGTATATAGTCACGCCAGACTGCGTTGCGTACAGTCATCCATTTGCTAGCACTGCTGCTCAGGATAGAAATGGTTTTAGGCCCATTGAAAACCCTTGTCTCTGAGTCATCCGTAACCAGTTGACTGAATGGGCTGACGAATTGAAGCCAAGCTACTTCTGGGTGCCCTTCAGCAAGGAAAAACCAGGTTGTGTCACTGATGAGCTGGGCTTAGCTGTCGTAGCGCTTAATGGTGCGCGCCATCTCAGTATCATGGCGCCGATATTCGGCATAGCAAGCGTTGTGTCCCAATACGCACACCAGACCTCTGCGCAAGCAGAGTCATGAATGCTTACGGTCGGAACTGACAAATGCATGATCACTACGACCCGAAGGGTAATTTACAATCTATACATCAATCAAATGTTCTTCGTTGTTGAGCTCATGGGTCCAACAGATTTGCTCTATTACCTGTTGTGAAACGTGTGGGCATAACGACGTGGTAGTAAAGTAAAACGCTGCTTAGCAGCTCACACATATCTGCTTGGAAATGTTCCCCTACAGTAGCGGGGGTTTCTAAACACTGTACGTTGAAATCATTCACGATAAGATTTGAAAAAATCATAACCGTTCGTTGCGGTGAACTTCATGAAATGCTTTAGTTCTGACCAGCAAAACTGCTGCTCATCTATGCGCTTTGTACTGGGGATTGTGTGTAGCGCCCTACTTATGTATCTATTCCTCGCGCGTATACTTTGGCAGTTCCTAAGCGTTCCTTTTCTCTTACGGCTTTGATATGGTCCGCCGTTGGCCAGTTACCATTTGACCTTTCTGGCATTTTTATGTTACCAACACTTGCTGCAATACAAGGTGGCTTGGGACGAGACGGATCCACAAGGAAACGAGGCGGCTAATTGGTAATCTTATCTGTACTAATTAGTGGTTTGGAACCAATCCATCCAGCTTACCTCGGCTCATTAGCAGATCCCGTTTCAGCAATGATTTTAGGGACATGCGAAACTAGGCATTTTAAACTATGATGCAAAGATTAAGTTGATGAAACAACTACTTTCAGGTGAATGCAAGTAGCTTCAAGATTTACAGTACTTGCTCATCACCGGAACTTCGATGTTTAGTCTTATAATGATGGTTCCAAGGATTCAGTCACTATTACCCACATTGCATGCAATAAGCAGCCATTTTACTGCAGCCAGCTAAGTATTAATGAAGCGTTCCCATTCTAATACACCCTACAGCTACGTTATGCATTAAACCGTTTCCTTGCACATACACAGTCTTCTAGCTGCCTAACGTTTTGCTCCCATACGGCAACTTTGCATAGTGTTTTTCATTAACTATTCTAAAGAAGTTGGCTTTTACTCACCTTGCTGTTTTTGTTTCTATTCAGATTTCGTTGTCATTGTGGCAAGTGTGGTTGTCTTGGCTGTGGACTCCGATCGTAATATGTTTGCTGCGAGCGCTCTTAGGGGTCTAAGGTTCTTTCAAATTCTTCGCATGATTCGAATGGACAGAAGAGGCGGATCGTTCAAACTGTTAGCTAGTGTGGTTTGGGCACACCGCCAGGTAAGCAACTTGATCACAAACTTCATGTCTCTATGTAAACTATAAACATTGGCTATTTCTAACTTGTAAGCATATTTGATACAACTGCGACACTTCTTCCTAGCATTTGCCAGGAATTGATCGAAGAAAAAGACCAACGTAGCCAAGCATATGGTAGAAAGCTCCAGCAAGAGCGAAATGATTATGGGCCTGTTCTGTGCTTAAGAAAGTGGCTGTTGGAATCCTGGTGTATCTAATTAAGTTTGAAGAACCGATGCCTTATTTTCACCATAGTAACAACCACGTTCCGTGCAAACCAAATATGAAACCTCATTTCGCGAATGCGTTTTGCATCGTTCACGCTAACTATCGTTTGTTCAACAAATGTATGATCGATAACGGTAAGTCATTCTTTGGGAGGAACGATGATGCGCCACTTTGGAGCCGCTGCAAATGGTGTCCTTTCATGCATGATAGCTGACTGTAAAGGTTGGACGTCGGATCAGATTTCTTGTCCAGGCTTCAATCTTCCACCTCATCGACCTCATTCCAGCCATTCGACGTAAGGCATTAAGGATCAGATTTTAATCACGAACCGTGTGGCGCCTGGCCTTTTAGTCTCATAAAACGTGACAGATAAGGCAGTGTCGTGTTTTAGTCAACCGTGAAGTGGGTCTTGTGCATTGAAGCTGACGGATTATAGAGGCATGCTGAAACATTAACTACTTGTCAGATCAGCGGACTATTTTTACAACACTGAACGAGAATTCAGCATACACTTGCTTTCCTTAAATTAACGCACAGAGCACCTAAATAGGGTAACCGCACTGACTGCACTATATTCTTTGTCTATTGAACCAACCAATAGAAACTGTGTGCACCGGGCCCTCATTTCTGTAGAGGGTTTGATGGAGCGGTACATCGCTTCCATACGCCGCTTCCATAAACCCCATTCCGATGTAAGTTAAAGTACTTAAATGCACATTTTATGAGCTTTTCGGAATGTATTTAGGAAAATCATTTATCATCGTAATTTTGAGCTCGATGTGTAGAAAATTTTACGCTTAATCGCTTTAGGATAATCACCTAGCCTTGAATGGTCAATCATACTGCGTGACCGATTATTTGAGAGCAGGACGCACGGAAACATTTTTCCCACTTTTACTTTTTTCATCAGCAAATTTGATGCTTAGCTGGAGGATATATTGATATGCTGCCTCATGTTCTTCACCCATGAAATAAAGACAATTCAGTAGGACATTTCTAGTACTGAAACATAGCGTTACTTACAATATAGAATCTCAACCCACCTACGTTGGAATTTCAAGCATAACCTATTTAAGAATACGTCTTATGTATTCGCGAAAGGCGAAATTATATCATCAATTACATCATCAAAGCGACAAAATGAAGTATGACAAGTGCAATTTTAGTAATAAAAGCAGAAGCAGCTGGTTATGTGGTACATCCTTATTCGTATTATTTACTGGCTTATTATTCGCTTATGCCTTCCGCACAAGTAGTAATATAGCTAGATATGAAACGACACACGAACCAAAGACTCACTGCTGGTATGCATGACAATGAAATTTTCCCTGTTCACAGATGTACTTACATATAGGTGGTGTGCCTTGCGAACGGTGGCTGGCATCCCAGAATAATTTGAAACAACTTTTGTGTGCGAAACCGCTGGTGTTGATTTGGTATTCAGAATAGGAGTAAGTGAACAAGCACGTTTTCGGTGGATCTTGTCAGACAGCAAGCATACCGACGAATGTACAGAAGCGAAACTTGACTACTGCTTTAATTGACTCGGAGGTAGTCTAAAAGAAGATTGGAAAGCATCATCGCTGAATCAAGTTTAAGACGAGGTACCACTATCCCAACAAAAAGAAAGAACTGCGGACCACGCGTCGGTCGGCATTCTCCCACACTTGACCCCTGCACTTTCAATGGGATCCTAGAGACCGAGAAACTGGCCTGCTCGTACGCAAAACTCAGGGTCTTTTTAATAAACTAGCCAAACTGAAATATCGCCAAGCTTCCGAGTCAAATGATGTCATTTGTATCACCGAGACTTGGTTGCACACGGGAATGACGGACGCTGTAGTTTCGCTACCGGGCAAGTCGCTGATCCGAAACGATAGGCTCACAAAATAAGGAGGGGTAATCCTGTATTACCGAAGCGACTTTCAGTGCGAAGCCAAGGAGAATTCAGACTCACAATTCTTCGACTCTCTTTGATTCCACTTGCAGTAAAAAGGCAGAGATGCTTGCCTTATTTTTTGGTATACCGTCCCCTAACTCTATACCCGAAACCGACTGCCACCTAGCGACTGCTTTAAGACGCACATCACAACGAAAGCACACATACTTACTTAGCAAGGGTGATTTCAACGTACACTGTGCAGATACTCATGCCACGATCAGAGAACAATTCGTAGCTTATCTACAAGAGCTCGTACCCATTGATCCTCTTTACAATCACATCACTTTGCCCAATCGGTTCAGACCTTGTGCTTATCAATGAGGAGCATATGATTGATGTGTTGGTTTTAGACAGCCGTTGGGTCGCAGTGATCGCGCAGTCTTCAGTTACAACTTCGTCTGCTGTGCGGAATATCGGAATGAAAACGATGAGACTGTGCAAACCATCACAAGCTACGATCGATTGGCCCAGCTCATCAGCCCCATAACTTGTGGGTACTTGACGAAGAACCCCCGGAAGTCGCCTGACTCGAGTGCATCAACAAATCCAGTCAGCTGATTGCAGTGGCTTCAGAGATAAGAGTTTACAATAAGTGTACATCAGTTACTTTCGTTAGGAGCAGTACTGGAAAATGGATGGCAGTACGCAACGCAGCATACCGATGAACAGAGAAGCTCCAGCAACGGAAAGTTGGGACAACCATATAGTGCAGCGTAACCACTGTAGTCAACTGCTAAGAGAAGACAAAGCCACCTATCAGCGGAACAGCGCAATACCTTCAGAGCTAATCACAAACTGCTGTACAAGCAAGTCCATTGCCTACAAAAGTTGAGGCAAGGATTTCCTCCACTCAGGACGGCTGATGGCCCAACAAGAACGGCTGCGGAAGCAGAAAACCCGCTGCGGATGCAGTATGCCCCAAGTTTCAGAGGGTCTTGCCACCAAGCAAACTTCCAAACTTTTCTGTTCCAACAGTGCGTCCAGTAGGTTGTCCTTTAACAATACCAATGTCTGACATTTATTGTCTTCCACATGCATGGAAACGTTGCAGAGCAACGTCATTCCGCAGTCAGAGTAGGAAGCGCTAATGAATAAATTTTGGTGGCATCAAGATGGCGGACCCGCACAATCGGTTCGTGCCCACCTGAACGAGACATTCGGTGGACGTTGGCTCGGTCGACGAAGACCGATAGAATGGCTTGCGCGATCACCAGATCTGAATCCTCTGGATTTGTTCCTATGGGGATGCTTGAATCGCAGAGTTACCAGAACGAAACCCAAGAACTTGGCTGAATTGAAAGCGAACATTGTGAATGAACGTAAGCAGATTTCGTTTGAGACCTTGCAGAAAGTGCTCGGTAACACCATTCTGCGAATGCTCCTCTGTAGTCAAAAGGACGGTGGGCAATTCGAATATCTGATTCATTGATATTTACCGATTTGTCACACGTCATGTAAATATAAGTAAAGGAAGGAATAAATGTATCTTCTCCATAGTACACGTGAAACACAATCGTAGGCCTGATCAATTTGTGCAACTAGCAATTGTCTGACTGTGAGGGCAATAGTTGCATTTATGACTAACTTGGGGTGCTGTCTAATGATGCCACCATTGCATCAGAGCATACTGAAATCCAAAAGCGTTGTCACGTACACTCGTCAAGAAACAGTTTTTATGCACTTATGAAAGTTGAATATTCAGCTGTAACACACACGCGATGGAAAAGGTAAAGCAAACAACTCTGTAACCTTACCATGTGATCCTGGCAGTATGATTCCCTTTAGCAGTGAAAGCAGCGTAAGTAAAGCTTACGGGTTTGTTGGAAGCCAGTTTTGAGGCGCTAACGGCTTTGGTGGAGTTAGCAATACTGCGTCCATCGGCAGCTCATCACATACGGCCAGGCTGATTTTCTCGATAGTCAGCACAGCGACACACTTCGCATGAAACCATTTTGTTGGATTTTCACCTACATGAAGGCCGACAACCGATGGATCGAAGCATGACACGTGCAGTGCTGCTAGGTGGTATCCGGCTCACATCCAGCTAGCACGGCTGAACGGCGTGAGTTTCCTAGGTTTTGCCATGCGGTCGAGGCATGACGCATTCATTGCGGCTGTGGTGGCTGGCTAACGTTTACCTCGCACGGCCGAACGGCTCGGTGTGCTCTGCGATTTTAGGCACACATGTGGTGTCTGTGTCCCGTTTCATCCCTGCCGACAAAGCAATTTGCGCCATTGGACAGTTAGTAATTCAGCGTACCGGTTGTACGTCAGCACCTGAGTTCAGCCTCTCCTAGCTCCGGACCAGATTAACAAAACATTATGTATACGGACCCACGTCTATTACAGTCTAATGGCTCCGTTCTGCGCGTAGTTAAAACAACCGATGGTACCCATAAGGTTTTCCCGCTTTTAAGAAGCGAATGTATTTCGAGGAAAACAATAATGAGTATGCCCATACCAGCCAAACTTCCTTCCTGAGAACAAATCGCCAATAATAGCAATGCATAGTTGCATCGTGGCTAATTTTATATATTTTTCTCACATTTTCCCATGCATCCGATTGTGGTGTTAGATTGCGCAAAAAGGCATAAATGTTTCAAAGTCACGAACGAAAATAGTCAGGACACCGAGTACGTAAAAGCAGTCGGAGACTAAACTAGTGAGGCCATAAAACATCGCTGGAAGAGTGCGAGTTGGCAATTCACTGAAATAGGAAACGTAGAGCAGGATCATATGTGAAGGGGCGCAAGTACAATTTGGGACAATATGCGTAGTAAAAGAACAAATTTAGCACTAGCGGAAGTGGATT